GTCTGTAGCAGGAAGATTTGGGTGAGATTACCATCATGGTTCATGCATAACATACAATATAATTTTACTGCCCAACACAACCTGAAAATCTTCTCTATTGTCTGAAAGCTTAACATATAATCACCTGCATTCCTGCATGCCCCCCCTCCCCCACCCCCGGGCTGAATGAGGCATAGAGTGCAGGAACTTCAGGGTGCATTGACTTAATGATGCCGGGTGTGGGATTGCAGTTGGACCCTTGGCATTCTGGAATGAAGAGATTAGCTGTAGTCCGATTTGGGCTCCTCGTCGTATACGTCGTCGTACATCTCGATCTCGTCCTCTCCGTTCATCAGATCGTTGCCGGTGAGGCTGCCGCTGTCCATCTTCATGCCGTAGGTGCTCTGTATGACGGGGATGCTGGGTTCGGGGCTGGCCGAAGTGCTGGAGCAGTCCGATGTCATCTGTGGCGACGGCGCGGTGTTCGCCATGCTGATCGCACCCGGGTACACCGCCGCCGCCGCTGCGGAGCTTATGGGGATCTGGGGCTGTTGCCTGAAAGCAGACGGTAAGAAAAATCAAACTCTGGCGGCAGAAAAAAAAATCGGAGAGCAAGTACAGAGTCCGAAGGATCCAAACGGGGCAAAAACACGGATCAGTTTATGTTATATGGAAAACAGGGGCGAAACTAGAAATCACAGGGCCCCATAGCAAAATTTTGTATGGGGGCCCTGTGATTTCTAGTTACACCCCTTGCAGAGCCCACCTGAGATCCCACACAGCCCACCTGAGAGTGACCCTGCGGAGCCCACCATAGACTCTCTATGGTGGGCTCTGCAGGGTCTCAGGTGGGCTGGTCACACCTCTTACCACAATCGCTGGTGGGCCCCACCTCCTCCTCCATCGCCAGGCCCCACCTCCTCCTCTGCTGCCGGCGATCGGCCCGCCTCCTCCTCCGCTGGCTGTCACTGACTCAGCAGCGGCTGTGGAGAGGTACGCGCCGCTGCGCAGATCACCGTCAGCGGCGCGTTCCTCTTCACAGCCCCCAGTGACAGCCTGCAGCGTGAGATGCCATAGCGACCCAGGCGGCCCGCACGGCATCAGGGATGTCCTGTCCGGGCCCCCCTGTGCCCCTGGCCCCATAGCGGCCCGCCTGGGTCGCTATGGCGATTGTTACGCCACTGATGGAAAATGTATCTCTTAGGTTGGCCACATGGACACAATTTTGTAGAATTTATTAAGATCAGATCTAAGTTTTTAGTTGTCATTTGGATAATTTTCGCTGGTGCCTCAGGTGTTTGAAGGCAGGCCCGGCGCTACCGCAAGGCACATCAGGCGGCCGCCTGAGGGCGCTGAGGCCGCCTGCAGCGCAAAACAGGGCATTTTGACAAGTACTTGTCAAAATGCCCCCGATGTTTGCGCTATGTGTTTTTTTTTTCCACTTACCTTCGGCGTGGGAGAGCGGCGGCGAGTCAGAGCTGGTCCAGTGGGAGGAGCTCCAGGTGGGGTCCTAATTTAGCTGGCCGGCGACTGCCAGAGGATCCCGACACACGCGGCACCTCAGGCAGTCGGTTCGGGGGCGCAAAAATGCACCTTGCCTGTGTAGGCAAGAATCCTAGCACCGGCCCTGTTTGAAGCCCAACTACAACCAAAAGGGTTAGAAGTCCAGCCAACCTTTCATTGCCATCTGTTTTGGGAAATCCCTTTAAAGGGCAATAAAAACAGATGTTCTAATAGAGGGAGGAAGGTTTAGGACGTGTCTCCTGTGTCCCCATGCGGGAGATTTACCCTCACTTGCTTTATATGTGATGGGAGTCACAGAACAGATGAGGACTCTCCTCTGTAGAACATTTACAATCTGGCAGACGCTGTAACCCTTCCCCACTCTATCCAGAACTTGAAAAATAAGTTTGACTGGAGGAGGACTTTTTATCTCTGGATCAATCAAAATGATCATTTCGAATTCCTTTTTCATTGTTCCACCAATTCTCATCCTCGGATTATTCCCCGCACACTACAACCCATCAGAAATGGTAGAATGTTGCCGAACGTCACATAGAGGTTTCCTCATTTATAGTTCGCTCACCCGACAGTGAAGAATTGCCTCATCTCCTGTCTCCTCGACCTCATCAGCTGTTTGTACTCCCCAATACGGAGCTTCTTGCCATCCACGATGCACGTGCGCTTGGGCCGGGGCTTGTACTTGTAGTTGGGATACTTCTCTAGGTGGATCTTGCTGAGGCGAGCTTGTTCTTCGTAGTATGGCTGTTTCTCTTGGTTGGACATGGATTTCCAGCGGGAACCTGCAACGCCAAGACATTCATATCAATTGCAGAACCGTAAAATGCCAAAGGGGCAACCTTAGCCACAAGCGGCAACCATGGATCATGATTGGGCAATCAGCTAAACCCTCTCCATGCCTCTCGTATATATAGCCTTCATCTCATGTGCTTAACCTCTTGCCGTCCGCCCGTAGTAAAAAAACGGACGGACGGCACTGCTGCATCTGCGGGTTGCCGTCTCCAGACGGCAATTTTTTTCTGCGCGCGCGCCCCCTAGCGGGCACGCACGGGCAGAAAAGACCCGCTAAATGCACACACCCGTTCCATAGCCCGCCGATCGCCTATATGTGCTCATTC